GCTCTGGCCTTCAGTTGGGAGGGGTTCAGTCTAAGAATTATTGCCCAGACGTGATGATTGGTGTCCCCTCTCCACTGGTGGCTCTTCCTCTATAAGAAGTGTAGGCATCGTGTCTGCTACTTTTCTCACATCCATTTTAGCCTTTTTATGGGCAACGCAAAAGCCTATAATACCATTGACTCCAGTAGCACTGCTAAATTACAGTTTAGATTCCCACACACACACACACACACCCCTTCAGTTAAACTAGTGTTTCTCAACCTTGGCAACTTTAAGCTGTATGGACTTCAACTCCCAGCATGGCTGGCTGGGGAATTCTGGGAGTTGAAGTCCATACAGCTTAAAGTTGCCAAGGTTGAGAAACACTAGTTTAACTGAAGGGGTGTGTGTGTGTGTGGGGGGGAATCTAAACTGTAATTTAGCAGTGCTACTGGAGTCAATGGTATTATAGGCTTTTGCGTTGCCCATAAAAAGGCTAAAATGGATGTGAGAAAAGTAGCAGACACGATGCCTACACTTCTTATAGAGGAAGAGCCACCAGTGGAGAGGGGACACCAATCATCACGTCTGGGCAATAATTCTTAGACTGAACCCCTCCCAACTGAAGGCCAGAGCATTAGTTTTGGAGAACCCTGGCTCACCTGTGCCTCTGGAAGTATCAAAGCAAAGCTTGAGTGGTGACCAGACCCACCAGGAGTCTATTATGTCCTCCGTGGTCACAATACCCACCTTCTCTGAGTACATGGATGGAGAGCTGAGCGGGTTGATGACCACCAAGTTGGGGCCGGCGTAGGTGTGAATGAGGTTCCCGCCATAGCGCTGGCGCAGGGTGTGCAGGGCACTGGACTCGTTGAGATAGACAAGGTTGGCCAGGTCCTCCAAACGGTCACATGATGGAGGATTGGCCTGATCAAACAGAGATTTTTAAAACCTAGTTAGTTTGGACAGAACCAGGAGCAGCTCTTGGATGGCACACCCAGCCCAGCTCCCCAGGCCTACCTTTTCAATATCATCTTCGTCCACCTCCAGAACAGCCCCATCATAGTCCAGCTTCACTTTGACCTTCCCCTCCGGTAAGATGCCGGCAGCGTCGGTCTTCAGCTGGCTCGCTGGGGATACAGCAAGATGAGATGAGGGATGCGGGCCATAAACTCAGCTAGTCAAGTGAGACAGACCCTCACCCAGACGAACCCACCTCTGTCTCACAAACGGGGCAGTGCTGCCACCTGGTGGCCCCACCAAACAAAGAAGGGTTGTGACAGCCCCCGCCCCCCATCCCAAAAGCTAGCGCAACATCCTGAAGCGACGGATGTGGGAAGCAGCAAAGGAGAAGGCAAAAACGCCTTAATGCCATGTGGCCCTTTACAAGACTGTTCTCCCCTCCCCTCCCCGATCCACAAGATCATTTCGGGGAGAGGAAATCCACTGGCCCAGCCTTTCAAAGAAAACGCGGCTGTGTGCTATTTGTCACATTGGTGCAACATGGAAACCCTTGAAACCAACCACAGTCACCCCCTCATGTTACAAAGCACTCTGACCCCAACAGAAACCCTCTATGAAATGATACGGGGTGCTGTGAGGCTCCCCACAGCCCCGTCACTCACCCAAGGAGAAGCCATCCTTGTGAACCAGCCACACCTTCTCCGTCTCGTACCAGGCCTCTTCCGCAGCAATTTGCTCCTCCGTCTTGGCCTGCCGTGTGTGTTGGGGAACAGGGGTGGACGTGTTACTGCACAGCCCTCTCTTCGACGACAAGGCCCCGTAGGACTCAAACCACTTCTCCGTGGAGCATTCTGTGCACCCGACTGCTCTCCCTCTCTGCTCCCATCCTGCACACCTTCCCACCTTTCACGCACTAAGACATCTGGCTGGGGTGTGACTCTGGAATTTCTACCTCACCACATGTCCTTTCGTGGAATAACATGCGCGCACATACACACACCGCCAAAGCTGGTTACAAGGAGGCCAACTGCCTTTTGGCTTCACCTCCACCTTTCCAGAGACAGTGTCGAAGAAAAGGCAAAGAGCATGCGGCATGCAATGCCACCCCTTCCAAGAGAGGCAGGTGGCCGCCGATGGACACAGCATGCAAACCCCTGACCCTGGACTCACCTGGGGGAAAGGATGAAACAAGTCAGGTATCCCCTGGGAATGTCAACCTAAAGTCTCCCTCCGGGCATTCTGACCTCTCCCAGATACACATTATGGGCTTTGTCCTCAGCCAACACTAGCCTTTGCAGCTGGGGAAGGGGGAAGCAGCGACTGGAGGCCAGCTCCAAGGAGAAGGTGGGAAGACCCTTTTCAGTCATGGAGCATGCCAGGGTGGGATGGGAGACGAGGTTCTCAGGACCCTGGTTTAAAACCCAGCTCCACTTGAAATTTTATCATGTGGCCTTGAAAGCCTTTCCTCTTTGCACGATAAAAAAATAATGGAAACTGGCTGGTCACAAACCTTGAAAGGGCAGGAGAGGCATATAACTCATCATTTAAGCAGCACTCCTGAGTGCCAAGTCCCACTGTAGAACACCCTTGCAGAAGGAAATGGCTTTGCAACAGAACACACACACCTATCACCCACCCATGCCAGACTGTGTTTACAAACACCCAAGCCTTCTCTGCCGCCACCCCCCGCCCAAGCTGCAAGCTCCAGAGTTGTGAATGGAGCCGCCAAATCTGTGGCAGAGACCCAGCCACATCGAGACCAAAGGCGGCTGCAGGGGCACTGTCCACCCGAGCCTGTGGAGGCTGGCTCCAAGCAAGGTAGAAGAACCAAGAGGGTGGCACCATGTCCAACCCTGAGGAACACCCCAGCTCTGGGATGAGAAATCCAAGGGCGGTATCGCCCTAGAATGAGACAAGGAAATCTAAGGCATGGCGTGAGAAAAGGGCCATTTGGCGAGGGGAAGGGTGCCACAGTCCCCTTCCAAATAAGCTAGCCTGCACCTGAGAGGGTCTTTCCCTCTGTGGCTTGTCACGCCCCTGTTCCCTGCAGACAGCGATGTGGCAGCGTCAGGCAGGCTACAAGGGTGTGTCTTTGGAGGTGGACCACCCAGTACATGACTTGTTCTGGAGCACCCGGAGGTGCTTGTTTGGCCAGTGCTGGGAACAAGATGGGACAAACATAGGCGTCGTGATGATTTTGCCTGGAGCACCAAGCCCCCTCCGGTCAATTGCCTCCTCTTCCATAAAGCCTTCAGTCTTTATCCCTAAGGCAAAGTCTTCTGCTGGGGATTTCTTTCCTTGAGGGACGAGCCTCAGTGACCGACCCCCCAGTTCAGCAGAATCCCAACTTTTATGTTACTGTCTAAAGCAGTGTTTCTCAAGCTTGGCCACTTTAAGACGTGTGGATTTCAACTCCCAGAAT